GGGAGGGATAGAGAGAGAGAGAGAGAGAGAGAGAGAGAAGTTCCAAAAAATGTATCTGAGAATTTTCCTTTTACTGATGTGTCTTTCCTCTTACAGACATAATAGGTGGGTTTCAGAATTACTAGCTTTGTCCAGGAACATCTGCTGATGCATCACCTGCTCCAGATCCTGTTTGTGCACGCTTGATGTAAAGATTCAACAATTTCATCTGCAGATTTAATTAGTAAATCACATGTTTAATACTTACAACATATTTCACATTAGAAAAGTCAGAAAAAAAGTTAATTTTTAAAGTAAAATAATAAAAAAGATTTGCAATGGAATGATATATACAGAGGAAAAAAGACTAACCAGAGCTATAGAACATAGTTGTATTTTCAAAGGATTAAGAAGATTAAGGGAGGATAAGCTCATTGGCGAAAAATCTCACATTAATATTCTCCTCAAGGTGAGTTTAGTTTACTGTGTCTAATGATCAATACTTACTTACTTAAGACTTGGTTCAGACAATGACAGGGAATAAGGATCCTTCTTCCATCTTCAAATTTACAGTATAAAGAGATGCTTTATTTTTTAAATGAATTATTTGTGATTGCTGAACTTGGGAGAACTGTAGTTTCTTTGATAATTTCAAGACCTGAACCTGTGGTTTGGTCCTGCCCACAGTTTAAACAAAGCATAGTTCCCAAAGTACAAATGGCACAAAGAACTGGGTTCATTTTAAATTGAAAACAGAAGCTTTTGATATCCTTGTGTATGGAAAAAAAAATGGAAACTCCTTATTTCTTATATCTAGACCACTGATGTATATCTTAATTAGCTAACACAATACTAAAAAGTTGAAAAACAAAAAAATTATTTCTTTCCTAAGCAAATAATTGGCATCTAGACCATATATCAGCAGCCATTCTGTCTTACCAGGGTTCAGTTGAAGCCTGTTGTCCCCCACCCAGGCCCCTACAGCCTCCAGGCACCGCAAAACGGTAGCCACAGCATCACTTAGGTCACCTGGGATGAAGATATATAGTTGAGTATCATCAGCATACTGATGATACCTCATCCCATGGTGCCGGATGATCTCACCGGTTTCATGTAGATGTCAAATAGGAGCAGCAAGAGCACCGAACCCTGAGGCACCCCACAAAGTAGGGGCCACGGGCTGGACCTCTTGCCCCCTATCAACACCGACTGGGATCGGCCTTGGAGAAAGGAGCTGAACCAGCACAGAATTGTGCCTCCCAGCCCCAACTCCTGCAGCTGACCCAAAAGGATACTGTGGTAGATGGTATTGAAAGCCGCCGAGAGGTCAAGAAGAGCAAGGATGGATGTACTACCTCCATCCCGCTCTCGCCAGAGATCATCTAAAAGTGCAACCAATGCTGTCTCTGTCCCATAACTGGGCCTGAATCCTGACTGACAGGGGTCCAGATAATCCGTTTCCTCCAGTATCCTCTGAAGCTGTTGTGTGACCGCCTTTCCAAAAAAGGGAAGGTGGGAGACTGGGCAAAAATTGTCTAGAAGGGTGGGATCTAGCATTGGTTTCTTGAGGAGGGGGCGGACCAAGGCCTCCTTAAAAGGCTTTGGGAACATCCCTTCCTGCAAGGATGAATTGACCATCGCCAGTACCCACCCCAATGTCACCTCCCTGGTGGCTTTAACCAATCAGGAGGGACAAGGATCTAAAATTCAGGTAGCCGCACTAACAGTGCTGAGGACCCTGTCCACCTCCTAAGGTCCAACAGGATCAAAACATTCCCAGATAACTGGGTAAGTCCACTTCCTGGGCATCTCAACTGGACCTGCATCACACTTGGCCTCCAACTGGGAATGAATCTGAGTGATTTTATCCGTCAGGTGTTCAGCAAATTCCTCTGCACGGCCCTGTAGGTGGTCCTTCGAGCCCTCCTTATCCAGGAGGGGCTGGGGGGCCCTAAACAGGGCCACTGGGCAACGCTCTGCAGATGCAATAAGGGTGGAGAAATAATGATGTTTCACCGCCCTTATTGCCACAATGTAGGCTTTAATAGTGGCTCTAACCCATGTTCTTAGTTTTCTGTCAGTGGTGCTCTAGATGTCTCTTAGCCCTTTCCAGCACCCTTAACTCCTCCATAAATCATGGGGAGTGCTGGAGGCGATGGGCCAAGAGAGGATGCACAGGCGCGATCCTGTCCAAGGTCCCGGTCACCTCCTTATTCCAGGCTGCAGCTACTGCCTCCACTGGACCATGCAGCAAGTCCTCAGGAACAACCTCCAGCTCCCTTTGGAACCCTTGCGGGTCCATCAGTCAGGGGTGGACCATTCGAATATATAACATTTTAGCAACTTTTTTTTCAAGGATGCTGATTAAATTACTGCCTGTAGTTTATTATTCTCTTTTTAGCAAGTAATCTATCATTCCATATAGCTCCAAATTACTGAAGACAACTGATTTGAATGGTAAGTTTTTTCCTCAATTCAAACTATAGTTAAAGTTCTGGATATCTGATTGCTATCCCCATGGGAACAACTCTTTTCATTGAGAAAAATAGGTCAGAGACAAAGCTTCTAATGTAACACTGTGACATTCTAGTTTTTCTACATGCATGGAAGGTGTTTTTGTAGGCATGATTAGGAGCTGAATAATCAGCTTTCCAATTTATCGTCTGAAATAGTGCAGCTGCATGAAGCCACCACTTGATTCTGCTGTAAAGTTTTAGACTACTTGTATGCTTTATTCAAGTCTTCATAGTGACTATATCAACAGCCATATTGATTTATATATTGTCAGTCTATTTATACATTTTATTTTCCACATGTTAACATGGTTCATGAGAAATAAAAGGATCAATAGATTGCCAGATCCAAAGAGTAGCCAGGTGCTGAAAAATTTTTGGCCCCTAAAAAACGCCTTTTTTCTAATCACCAATTGTAATCAAAATCAGGCCCTGGCTATGGCAAACCACTTACTTTGCTGCCAGTGAGTTGACTAAGATGTGGCTTCAGCTCATCACCAATTACTGCATGAATAGCTACAAGACAGAAGACACATGCTTTTCGAACGCTGCTTTCAGAGTTATCGTAGCCCTACAAAAGAAGAAAAGATGTAATCCAAATACATTTCAATCCAAATGATATTGATATTCCTACAATTACCAACCAAACAGAATAACAGAATAATACATTTTTAAAAGAAATACATTTCAGTCAAATATATTCTATAAAGTTAGAAGATTACTTGAAAAGCTGAATAATCTTTGGAAAAACAGTTTTGAAACATTCTTTGTAATGTTATTCATTAATTTCTATCTTCTTACCTGTATTAAACCTGGTACTATCTCTGGCAAGAGCTGAGCAAGAGTTTCTTTAGGTACTCTTTCTATCACTTTGGTCTGCATTTTGATTGCAGCCAGATTTATAGGGTAATCTGCTGTTTGAATAATGGGACAAAGTACTTTGATGCACTGATCTGGACTAATAGATGTGGCCAGCATAGTAGCAGCCTCTTCAGCTGATCTTACCACCTAATAGATGAAAGAAAAATACAGAAATGCAATAATATTACACTTGCATGGTTTTATTTTTTGAATATTGCTACAACGTGTAGAAGATTTAATATCAATATATTTTGTTTTACACAGAAATTTCTGTCAGAACAGCAACATCTCAATAATGGTAGCTGTATTAAAAAAAGCAGCTTCAGATTTGAAAATTTGACTGGATATGTTAGAAAAATGAACTAATGTACCTAGGAAATATCCCAAGATCGGATTTTTTTTTGACATTGCAACTATACCACTAAGTTTAAAAAGAAAAAAAAAATCATTCTAGAAAATATGAGATATGTATATTTTCAAATTCCCATTACATCTAAATCTTAACCCATTATTTCCAAATAAAAGTAATTCATAGAGGAAATGTAATTAATTGTTACATTTAATGTCCTGTGAAATATAAAAATGAAACTAATGAACATACTGACATTATTGTTTAATAATAATACTGACAGAATAGATAATCAATATCCTAGAAGCATGGAAACTTTGTACAGAGTTTTATGCTGTTGAGGAAAATGATATGGTTCTTGTCTAGCAAGAAGGTCCACTATCACTGTTTATAAGACTTATTCATACTTCACTAAAACAGAAGTTAAAGGATTCCTATGCCCCCTTCCCCATAAAAATCTGTATTATTTGAATTATTGTTTTGAATAGAAAGCATGAGATTCTCATTTTTGGAGATTGGTTTTACATAAATTCCTGAAATCTGTCTTATGAAAAAATATCCTATATTCTTTATTTTCATTGTTGAACACCATATTATTACTTCAGTCACATCCTTAAGTTCAACACAAATCTCAGAAATTGTATACAAACCTCCTTATGAGGGTCCTTATGAGCTTCTAAAGTCTTCATTATTGTGAGTTCTGCATAATTTCTAAATCTTGCTGGTTGATGTCTTAGAATCTCTCTTAAGACTTTCAACGCCAGGGCTCTAATTGCATGCTGAAAGTTTAAAGATTGTTAGTTTTGCTCATATAACTTCCAATTCATTACTTTTGATAATGGAACTACAGTGGTACCTTGGGTCATGAACTTAATTCATTCCGTGATTCTGGTCGCCAACCGAACTGGCTGTGTCCCGAATCAAATTTTCCCACACGACCCGCGGCCATCTTCCCTGCTCTGACATGTGGTCGTGGCTTCCTCTAGGTGAGATCGTGGTCGCAGACAGACACTTGCTGTGTAG